CGGGGGGAAGGGGGAAGCGGGGGTACCGGGAACAGGGGGAACCGGGAATCAGGAGCACCGGGGGAACCGGGAACAGGGGGAACAGGGAATCGGGGGTACCGGGAACAGGGGGAACCGGGAATCAGGAGCACCGGGGGAACCGGGAAACGGGGGTACCGGGGGTACCGGGAACAGGGGGAACTGGGAATTGGCAGCACTGGGGGAACCGGGAACAGGGGGAACCGGGAGCACCGTGGGAACCGGGAATCAGGGGTACCGGGGGTACCGGGGATACCGGGAACAGGGGGAACCGGGAATCGGGGGTACCGGGAACGGGGGGAACGGGAGCACTGGGGGAACCGGGAATCGGGAGTACCGGGAACCAGGGGAACCGGGAACCAGGGGAACCGGGGGAACCGGGGACACCGGGAGCACCGGGGGTACTGGGAAAACCAGGAGCACCGGGGGAACCGGGAGCACCGGGGGTCGCTGTGAGTTGTGCCCCCCACGCGTGGGGGTCTCAGGGGCTCGGGTCTGACCCCCCCACCCGTTCCCACCCGGCAGCTGAGCCACGCCAGCCCCCCCGCCGTCCTCCCGTTCCACCCCCCCGCCTTCCCCGGCGCCCGGGACGAGCTGGAATTCCGGGCAACCGACCCCGAACGGCTGCGGGAGGGTGAGGACACCCTGGATGTGCTCCTGGAGGATGAGGGGGGCTTGGGGGGTCGCCACTCCCCCCCCGCCAGCCCCCGAGGTGGGTCCCTGTTTTGGGGGGAGGGGGGCAGATCCCACCCTGGGACCCCGATTTTATTTTGGGGAGGGGTTAACCTGGAGTTCTCCCGCAGATTTCCTGAGGATGCAGGATATTCCCGAGGAGGTGGAGAACAGCCAGGAGCTGAAGGAGGGCGATGGGGACAGTTAGGGACCTCCGCAGCCCCCCCAGCACCCCACGATCCCCCCCCACCCAGGACACCCCGGGGGCCGGATCCAGCCCCCGGTGCCAGCCCCGCTGCCATCCCCACCCCGGTGCCACCGCCACCCCCATCCCGGTGCCACCGCCACCCCCATCCCGGTGCCAGCCCTGATCCCAGCCCGCTGCCGGCTGTGACCGCCCCCAGTGCCAGCCCCGACGCTGCCTCGGTCCCGAGCCCACCCCAGCTGCGACGATCCCGGAGGAATTCCACTCCCAGCCCCGATTCTGGTCCCGATCCCGGCTCCAATCCCTGTCCCAGCCCCGATCCTGGTTCCAGTCCCTGTCCCGGCCCCGATCCTGGCTGCAATCCGAGCCACATTCCCAGTTCTGGTCCCTATCCTGGCTCCAATCCCTGTCCCAGCTCCAACCCCCATCCCAATCTCAATCCCAAACCCAATCCCTGTTCCAGCCCCAGTTCTGGTCCCGATCCTGCCTCCAATCTCTGTCCCAATCCCGGCTCCAATCCCTGTCCCAGCCCCAATCCCTGTCCCGATCCAAATCCCAATCTCAATCCCAGTCCCAGTCCCAGTCCCAGTCCCGGTCCCATTTCTGACGCTGCTCCCGATGCCAGCTGCAATCCGAGGCCCATTCCCATCCTCCTCCCCAATCCCAGCCCCAATCCTGACCCGAACCCAGCCCCCAGCCTGGCCCCGCAGCCCCTCCCTGCTCCCCGTCCCGGTTCCCGTTCCCAGACCCAGCTCTCGGTTCCCGGTGCCGGTGCCGGTGCCACCCCTCCCGGTGCCACGCTGGAGCCCAGCCCGGCTCGGTGGCACTCGCCAAACCAGCCGGACGGGCACAGGCCGGGACACGCTGCGGCCTCTCCGCCCCCTCCCGGCTCCGCGATCCCTCAGGATCGGGAGGATCTGGGGAAACTGAGGCACGACATGCGCGGGGGGGACCCGCACTGGGGGGGATCCTGTCCCGGGGCGGGGTCTGGGGTCGTGTCCTGGATTTGGGGTCCCGCAGGTGGAGAGCTGGACGCGGCAGGACCAGAAGCTGCTGGAGGCGGTGACACGCGGGGACGTGGCCCGGGTGGCCGCCCTGGCCGCCCGCAAGGCCGCCCGCCCCGCCAAGCTCAACGCCAGGGGACAGTCCGCGTATGTCACGGCCGGGGGGACACCGGGGGGCTCGGGCTCGGGGGGGGGGGGGGGGGGGCGGGGGGGGGGGGGGGGCACGGGGGTCACGGCCACCTCTCCCCCCCCCCAGGCTGCACCTGGCCGCGGCCGGGGGTCTCACCGAGTGCCTGACGCTGCTGCTGGAGCACGGGGCTCCCGTCAACGGGACCAACGATGACGGTAGGTGGGGACAGCTGGGCACAGCTTGGGGACACCTTGGGGACAGCCAGGCAGGTCCCTGTGTCACCTGTGGAGGAGCTCAGACCTGCACCCCCAAGGCAGGGAGCCCCGGGAGTGTCCCCGAGGAGGGGGTGTCCCCTGAGGGAGGGGGGTGTCCCTTAGGGGAGCAGTTGTCCCCCGGGAGTGTCCCCAGAGCCCGTCCTGTCCCCACAGGCAGCACCGCCCTGCACTTGGCCACCATCGCCTGCCAGCCCCAGTGCGTGAAGGTGCTGCTGCAGGTGGGAGAGGGACGGGAACGGGGTGGGAGTGGGGTGGGATTGGGAATGGGATGGATGGGATGGGATGGGATGGGAATGGGAACAGGAATAGGATGGGAGTGGGAATGGGATGGGATGGGAACAGGATCTGGAATGGGATAGAAGTGGGATGGGAATGGGATGGGAATTGGAATTGGCAGGATGGGAGTGGGATGGGAATGGGAACGGGATGGGATGGAAACAGGAATTGGATTGGGATGGACTGGGGGTGAAAACAGGGATGGAGATCAGGACAGAGCCAGGGATAAGGATGGGGATGCAGAGGAGGATGAGGATGGAGGTGGGATGGGCACAAGGACAGGGAACAGGGACGAGGATGAGGATGGGAGCAGGGCTGGGATGGGGTCCAGGGCCGTTCCCATTCCCATTCCCATCCCCTTCCCGCACTCCCCCCAGCACGGAGCCAACGAGCGCCACGTGGATAGGCAGAACCGGACACCGCTGCACTGGGCCGGTGAGGGGGGGACACGGGGACACCCCGGGACTCGTGGGGGACACCAGAAGAGTCCCCCAGAGGCCCTGCAGTGACAGCACCCCCCCCGCAGCCTCCTCGGGCTGCGCCTCCAGCGTGCTCCTGCTCTGCGACCACGAGGCGCCACTGGATGTTCCCGACGCTGTGAGTGGGGACAGGGGGACAGCAGGGGGTGGCAGGGGACAGCAAGGGTTGGTGGTCACCCCAAGTGTCCCCCCAGCACGGCCAGACCCCCCTGATGCTGGCAGCACAGGGGAACCACGTGGCTGTTTGTGCCCAGCTCCTGCGGCGCGGGGCCGAGCCCGGGCTGGCCGACAGGGATGGCAGGTGGGTGACGGGGGACCCTGGGGACACTGGGGACACTGGGGACACTGGGGACACTGGGGTGTCCCCAAGGGTGTCACCGCTGCGGGGAAGGGATTGGGGTCACCTGTGCCACCGTGTCACTGTGTCACGGTGCCATCTTGTCACTGTGCCCGTGCGCCACCCCCTGCCATCCTTCACTGTCCCCATGTCCCTGCGTGTCACATCCCGGGCTCAGGACGGCGCTGGAGCTGGCCCTGGCTCACGGCAGCCTGGAAGTGGCCGAGCTGCTGCAGGGCCACAAGAGGGACAAGGACACTGGGAATGTCACCGGGAGTGTCACCGGGCAGGCCCCGAGCTGGGCTCCCCAGAAGGTCCCAGACTGCGGGAGGAGAGGTGAGACCTCCTGGAGCCCCCAAAAAAAGGGATAAAAAATGGGAAAACAACGGGGAAAAATTGGGAGAAATTGGGAAAACGGGATTGTGTTTTTCCCTCCCGCAGAGAATGGTGCTGGACAGGTAGGAATCCAGGGCGAGGAGGAGGAGGAGGAGGAAGATGAGGAGCAGCGGGATGGCCGCGCTGCCCGGCGGCTGCGGGAGGAGCTGGCGAGGAAGACTCTGGAATGCCGGCGGCTGGAGGAAGCTGCCGAGGGCATCCGGCGGCGGCTGCGGGAGCTCGTGCGGCTCCTGCCGGCACGGGACGCGGGTGAGGATGAGGAGGATGAGGAGGATGACGGCGCCTGCCTGGAGCTCCTGGCCCGGCGCGTGGCGGAGCTGAGGAAGAGGACGAGGGATGAAGAGTGGCAAGGAGGACAAGGCAGCGGCGAGGCCCCGGCGCTGATCCCGTTCCTGGCCTGGCTGGGAGAGGAGTGCTCCAAAATGCGGGAAGCCAAGGCCGGCGCCTTCTCCCGGAGCCGGGAGCTGCGTGGGGAAGCCGAGAATTCCCCCCGGGACCAGGCTTGGGAGCAGCTGGCGGCGGGGCTGGAGCAGGCGCTGGAGCAGCAGGACCAGATCCACGCCAGGATGCTCCAGGGATCCCAAACCCTCCTGGAAAAGCTCCGCCGGGAGCCGGTGAACGGCACGGAGCCGGCCGCGGGCGGGAAGAACCGGGAGGAGATCCCGGCAGAGAGCGGGAGGATGGAGAAGGAGCTGCTGGAGCTGCGGGAGGGCAACGGGAAGCTCCTGGTGGAGCTGGCGCGGCTGGGCCGGGAGCGGGAGCGGCTGCAGCGGGAGCTGCGGGAGCTGCGGGATCCCGGGAACCGGGACGAGGCGCGGCGGCTGCGCCGGGAGCTGCGGGCGCTGCGGGACGGGCTGGGAGCGCGGCTGCGGGAGGCGGGAGGCGACGCCGGGGCCGCGATCGTGCGGGATTTGCAGCGGCGGCTGGACGCGCTGCTGCGCTCGCAGCACGAGGCCCTGCAGCTCATCACGGAGATGGAGGGAGAGCCCGGAGAAAGCCCCGGCAGCGACGGGGACGGCGGCACACCGGGAGAACCGGGAGGCGGCGCGGAGCGCGGCGCCGCCGGGGTCCCGCCGGGCTCGGAGGCGGAGCGGTGGCGGGAGGCGGCGGCGGCGGCCGAGGAGAGGGCGGCCGGGAGGGAACGGGAGCTGCGGGAGCTGCGGGAGACGGCGGAGGGGCTGGAGAGCAGCCTGGCAGCGCTGCGGGAACGCGCGGCCCGGCTGGAGCGCGCCTGCCGCGACAAGGACGGGAAGGTGAGGGACGGGACCTCCCCAGCACCGGCCCCGTCGCCGTCATCCTCCTCTGCCATCCTTGTCCCCATTGCCGACCCCTTCTTGTCCTCATCTTCCTCCCATCCTTGTCCCCATCGCCAACCCCTTCCCGTCTTCCTCTTCCTCCCATATCCATCCCCATGTCCTTCCCAACCCCATCCCCTTCCCAGTCCTCTTTCCATCATCATCATCATTATCATCATCATCATCATCATCATCATCCCTTTCTCACCGTTGTTCCCATCCCATCCCATCCCATCCCATCCCATCCCATCCCATCCCATCCCATCCCATCTCATCCCACCCCATCCCCATCCCCATTCCAATCCCATTTCCATCCCCATCCTGTTCCCCCTACCAGCCCCATTTGGGGGGACCTCGGGGGGAGCTGAGCAGGACCTTGGGGGCTGACAGGGACCAAGGGGGCTCTGGGGGGGGGGGGGGGTGTGCCCCAAATCTGCCCCTGGCTTTGCCCCCCCAGCTGAAGCAGCTGCTGGTGGAGACGGAGAAACTCTCGGCCGAGGTGTTGGGGCTGCGGGGCCGGAGCGCCCGGCTCCAGCTCCAGCTGGAGGTGAGGACAGCGCCCGGTGTCACACCGCGTCACCCTTTGTCACTCTGGGTCACCCAGCGCCACCCTGTGCCCCCCCAGGTCCAGCAGAAGCAGCACCGGGACACCGTGGCCGTGTACCGGAGCCACCTCCTCCACGCTGCCCAGGTGGGACCCCCGGCCCCGCCCGGGCTCTCTGGGGGGCGGGGGCACAGTTTTGGGTGGGATCCCTGGAAAAGCCGCTCTCCTTCCTCCGCAGGGATTCATGGACCAGGGCGTCCACGCCGCGCTGCTGCGGATCCTGCGGGCCGAGGCGGGAGCGGGGCTGTGGCATTAAACCGGGAAACCGCCACACACGTGTGCTGTTCTGTGTCCTGTTCCATGTCCCCATCCCGTGTCCCATCCCATGTCCCATTTGGTGTCCCCATCCTGTGTCCCCATCCCGTGTCCTGTTCTGTGTCCTATTCCATGTCTCCATCACATGTCCCGTTCCATGTCCCATTCTGTGTCCTATTCCATGTCCCCATCTCGTGTCCCATCCCGTGTACCATTTGGTGTCCCCATCCTGTGTCCCCATCCTATGTCCTATTCCGTGTCCCATTCCGTGTCCCCATCCCAACAGCCCGGGGAAGGAGCTGCACCCTGCTCCACTCCCCCGGAATCCACCCGAAACCACACAAAGCCACTCCTGGGGTCTCCATGTCCCCGCTCCAGCCCGGGCTGGGATCCCACTGATGTTTATTCCCACTGGGAACTTTATTCCTGCTGGGATCCCACTGACGTTTATTCCCACTGAGGTTTATTCCCGCTGAGGTTTATCCCTGCTGTCCCCAGCCCAGCCCCGCTCTCCACCTCCCCAGGGCGAATTTGGTGCCGGTGCTGACGCGCTCCAGGTCGGGGCCGTGGGCCGGGGCGCGGCGCAGGAAGATCCCGGTGGGAATCCGGGAGCTGCGGAAGCCGCCGGCGCTCAGCTCCGTGATCCTGGGACACGGAACGGGCTCAGGGACGGGGCCACGGCCAGGCTGGGCAGCCCCAGGGGGTCCCAGCCTCGTGTCACCGTCCCCACGGGTCAGGGGGGTCTCACCCCACGGTGGCCGGCAGCTCTCTGGGGAGTGATTCCGGTCCCGGTCCCGATCCCGGTCCCGGTCCCGGTCCCTCGGCTCCATCCTCGGTGGCAGCGATGGCCTCCAGGAGCCGAGGCTCCAGCCAGGCCACGGCGCTGACCTCACACGGGCTCGGACACAGCCGGGCCTGGGCACGGACCCCCCGTGGAGGGAGAGACCCCCACGCTGGGGGGGACCCCAACCTCAAGAGGGACCCCCCCCCCCCCTTGGAGGGATCCCAGCCTCTGGAGGGGAGGAACAGCCCAGCCATGGGGGGACCCCCACCCTCAGAGAGACCCTCAGAGAGACCCCCGTCCAGAGAGGGACTGCAACACCAAGAGGGGCCCCCCACCCACGGAGCGACCCCCTTGGAGGTGCCCCCACCCATTGAGGGACCCCACCCACGGAGGGACCCCCTCGCAGGTGCCCCCACCCATGGAGGTGCCCACCACCCTTGGAGGGACCCCCCCACCTGCAGCTGCTGCCGGGGCTCGGCCGAGCGCAGCCCCAGGTAGGTGACAATGTGGTGACAGCGTGGTGGCCCCCAGCTCAGCGAGGGGGGGAACAGGGACTGCGGGGAGCAGGGGTGACCCGTGGGACACCTGGGGGTGTCACCCCCCTGCCCAGCCCCGGGTTTGGGGGGGGGTCGTTACCTCCCAGAGGCCGAGCAGGTGCCAGGAGAAGGTGCCGGGCTCCAGGTGCAGCCCCGTCTCCTCGGCCAGCTCCCGCAGCCCTGCGGCCACCAGCTGGGGGTTCGGGGTGTCAGGGGACAGCCGTGTCCCCACGCTCACCTGGGCACCCCCTGCCCTCCCCGCGGTGCCACCTCACCTCTTCTCCTGGCTCCAAGTGCCCACCTGTGTGGGGGGACAGGAGTCAGGGCACCCCAAAACAGCTGTCCCCAGCTGAGTGAGGTGTCCCCAGAGCTGCTGTCCCCCGCACTCACCTGGTGGCACCCAGACATCGGGGAAGTGGCGCAGGGTGGCGGCCCGGCGGGTCAGCAGCACGTGGCCGCAGGTGGCCTCCAGCAGCACGGCCACCGCTGCGCCCACCCCCGGCTGTCCCCCCCGGCCGCCCGGCGTGTCCCCTCCCAGCTTGGCGGGGCAGAACGGGGGTCTCTGCGGGGACACGGGGATGTCAGGGGTGCCATGTCTGCCAAGGGGGGACGCGGTGACACCGGGGGAGCCACCGGGGGTGGCGGCCCCGCGCACCTTGAGCACGGTGAGGCTGGAGCCGGGGAAGGGGACGTCGGAGATGAGGAAGCGGCCGCGCTGCAGCCCGCAGCTCACCGGGGCCGCGTCGGTGTGCGCGGGGCAGAACACGCCGGTGACGCTCTGCGGGGACACCGCGCCCGCTGGCACCGCGCTGGCACCGCGGCGCTGCGGCGGCCGCTCCCCCCGCCCTGCGCTGTCCCCCCCCCCAGAGACCCCAGACCCCTCCCGGTGCCCCCAGNCCCGCCCCCGCGCGCCGCACGTGCACGAGCACGCGCGCGCCCGCCATGACCGGGGGGCGGGGCCTCCTGTGAGGGAGGCGGGGCCTGGCGCCGTTCGGGTGGGCGGGGCTTCGACGGCGCCGGCGACGGCGCCCCCTGCAGGATCTGCCGGGAAAGGCCCCGCCCACGGGAGGTCACCGGAGATTGGGGACAGTTCTGTGTCCCGTGTGTCCTGAGTGTGTCCCCCGTGTGTCCCCTGTCCCCTGTGTGTGTCCCCGTATCATGTGTGTGTCCCCGTGTCCCCTGTGTGTGTCCCCCGTGTGTACCCGTGTGTCCCCTGAGTGTGTCCCCCGTGTCCTGTGTGTGTCCCCTGTGTGTGTCCCGTGTGTCCCCTGTGTGTCCCCTGTGTGTGTCCCGTGTGTCCTGCGTGTGTCCCCCCGTGTTCTGTGGTCCTGTGTGTGTCCCCTGTCCCCTGAGTGTGTCCCCTGTGTGTCCCCTGTGTGTGTCCCGTGTGTCCCCTGTGTGTCCCCCGTGTCCCCTGAGTGTGTCCCCCGTGTGTCCCCTGTGTGTTCCCCGTGTCCCCTGAGTGTGTCCCCTGTGTGTGTCCCCTGTCCCCTGTGTGTGTCCCGTGTGTCCTGCGTGTGTCCCCCGTGTCCTGTGTGTCCTCTGTGTGCATCGGTTGGGACGGGGTGGGTTTAGGGTGAGTTTTGGTGGTTTTGGGGTGTTTCTGGGGAGAGTGTCAGTGGTTTTGGGTTGAGTTTCAGTGGTTTTGAGGTGTTTTTGGGGTGAGTTTCAGTGGTTTTGGGGTGTTTTTGAGGTGTTTTTGGGGTGAGTTTCAGTGGTTTTGGGGTGTTTTTGGGGTGCGTTTCAGTGGTTTTGGGGTGTTTTTGGGGTGCGTTTCAGTGGTTTTGGGGTGTTTTTGGGGGGAGTTTCAGTGGTTTTGGGGTGTTTTTGGGGTGAGTTTCAGTGTTTTTGGGGTGTTTTTGGGGTGTTTTTGGGGTGCAGGCTGCCTGTTGTGGGGTGCTGGGCCGGGGGGTGTGTAGGGCGCTGTAGGGGCCACGCAGTGTTGCTGCGGGGGGGTTGTTTTGGGGTGTTTTAGGGTTTTGGCTGGGACGCTGAGTGTTGTGAGGGTGTCGTGGGGGTCCTTGGGGTGCGGGGTCGGGGTGTCGGGGGGGTGTTTTGAGGTGCTGCAGTGGGGTGCTGAACTGGGAGCACTGGGAAGGGGACACTGGGGACTTTGGGACAGCAACATTGGAGCAGGGGCACTAGGGACACCGGGAGGGGGAAATGGGGACCCCTGAGAGGACAGGGGACACCGGGGACACTGGGGACACTGTCCCCACTCCGCCCCTCATCCCCGTGCCTCAGTTTCCCCCCGCTCGCAGCCCGGGGCGGGGCGGGGGGGTCGCTCCCAGCCCCACCCGCGATGCCGGGGGTCCCGCTGCTCTTCGTCCTCCTCCTCCTCCTCCTCCTCATCACCGGGACCCCCGCCCAGTCCTTCCCGCGGGACCTGGTGGCTCGCAGCACCGTGGGGCTCGCAGGTGAGCGAGGCTCGGGGGGGCGGCCCCGGGGGGCTGCCGGGGGGGGGTGGTCTCACCGTGTCCTCCCCCTCCGCAGCCACCGCCGCGTACCCGCGCTTCGGGGGTCTCCGGGGGGACAACGGCACGGCACGGCTCGGCCTCGACTTCCAGCGGATGCTGCGGCTGAACGGGACGCTCTTCGTGGCTGCCCGGTGAGCGCGGCGGGGCTCGCCGGTACCGGGGCGCGGCTCCCGTGCGCGTCCGTGCCCGGGCATCCTCCTCTGTGCTTGTGCAAGGATTTGCACGCTCCTGCGCCCTTGTCGGGGCTTCCCCCGGGCGGGACCCCGCAGTCCCCTGTGCGTGCTGTCCCCTTGCACACCCCCGTGTCCCCTTGCACACTCCTGAGCCCCCTTTCACACCCCCGTGCCCCTTGCCCACCCCCGTCCTCCCCTTTCACACCCCCATGCCCCTTGCACATCCCCGTGCCCCCTTGCACACTCACGCCCCCTCCCCAGGGATCACATCTACGCCTTCGACCTGCGGCAGGACAAGGGGACGCTGTACCCGGAGCGGGTAAGGGGGACGGGGACCCTGGGGACAAGGGGGGGGGGCACACGGGGCGAGGGTCCCCGTGCCCACCCACCCCCTGTCCCGTCTCACCTGGCAGCACCTCACCTGGGAGACGCAGGACAGGGAGAACTGCGCCATGCGGGGCCGGCGGCAGGTGAGGGGGCGAGGACGGGGGGGATTCGGGGTGCGGGGGTTCGGGGTGCGGGCTCTGACGCCGGGGTCCCCGCGTGTCCCCACCACAGGACGAGTGTCACAATTACATCCGGGTGCTGGTGCCCCGCGACGCCGAGACCCTCCTGGCCTGCGGCACCAACGCCTTCAGCCCCCTGTGCCGCACCTACCAGGTGGGGGGGGGGCCCGGGGCTGGCGACCCCCGGGGTGAGAGGGGCTCGCAGCCTGCCTGGGATGGGCTGGGGGTGTCAGCCGTGTCCGTGCTGGGGGTGGGGATGGCACAAGGGGGTGCTGAGTATTGTGGGGGGGGGTCTCACGGCCTCTGGGCGTGTCCCCCCCCCCAGGTGAGCAGCCTGGCACAGCAGGGTGACGAGGTCAGTGGCCAGGCCCGCTGTCCCTTTGACGCCAAGCAAAGCATCGTGGCTCTCTTTGTCGGTGGGTGCCGGGCACACGGGGTGGGGGGGGAGCCGGGGGGGCACAGGGGTGACCCGGTGTGTCCCCCCCACCCCGCAGATGGCAGCCTGTACTCGGCCACGGTGGCCGATTTCCAGGCGAGTGATGCCGTGATCTACCGCAGCCTGAGCCCCGGGCAGGCTCCCCTGCGCACCCTCAAATACAGCTCCCGCTGGCTGCAGGGTACCCCGAAATGGGGAGGGGGTCTGTGGGGGTGGGATGGGGGTCTGCAGAGTGGGGCAGGGGGAGGTGGGGATGGGGTTGGGGGTGCAGGGCTGCAGTCTGGGGGTACAGGGGGGCAGGATGCAGGGGAGGGGCTGAGCAGAAGGGTGTGGGACAAGGACAGGAGGTGGCAGGGGCTGATGGTGCCTCCAACCTCCCCTGGCCCCCCCAGAACCCCACTTTGTCCAGGTGCTGCCCTACGGCCCCTACGTATACTTCTTCTTCAGGGAGGTGGCAGTGGAGCTCAGCGCCCTGGGCAAGGTGGGTGCGGGCATGGGGGGCACAGTGGGAGCACCCAGGGACCTCCCACCCTAGGGTTGAGGCAGGGGAGACTCCTGAGCCCCTCACCAGGGTGTCAGGCCTGTGGGTGACCCCTGGGTGCCAGCCTGAGGGGACAGCAGTGATGCCCAGGGGTGCCCAGGCGCCCTGGGTGGTGACCCTGAGGGTGCCCAGGTGGTGACCCTGGGTGTCCAGGTGGTGACTCTGAGGGTGTCCAGGTGGTGACCCCAGGTGTCCAGGTGGTGACCCCGGGTGTACACGTGCTGACCCTGAGGGTGTCCAGGTGCCAATGCCTGCGGGTGTCCAGGTGCTGACCCTGGGTGTCCACGTGGTGACTCTGAGGGTGTTCAGGTGCTGACCCTGAGGGTGCCCAGGTGCTGACCCGCGTTGCTGCCCAGGTGCTGACCCTGAGGGTGCCCAGGTGCTGACCCTGAGGGTGCCCAGGTGCTGACCCAGGTGCCCAGGTGGCTGACCCTGAGGGTGTCCAGGTGCCAATGCCTGCAGGTGCCCTGGGTGGTGACCCTGAGGGTGCCCAGGTGCTGACTCTGGGTGCCCAGGTGCTGACCCGCGTTGCTGCCCAGGTGCTGACCCCAAGTGCCCAGGTGCTGACCCGGGTGCCCAGGTGCTGACCCGCGTTGCTGCCCAGGTGCTGACCCTGAGGGTGCCCAGGTGCTGACCTGGGGGCCCAGGTGCTGACTCTGGGTGCCCAGGTGCTGACCCGCGTTGCTGCCCAGGTGCTGGTGGCCCGGGTGGCCCGGGTGTGCCGCAACGACCGCGGCGGGTCCCCGCGGGTGCTGGAGCGGCGCTGGACGTCCTTCCTGAAGGTGCGGCTGCAGTGCTCCATCCCTGGGGACACCGTCTTCTACTTCGACGTCCTGGAGGCCGTGACACCCCCCCAGACCCTGCATGGGCGCCCCGCTGTTCTCGCCCTCTTTGGCACCCAACCCAACAGGCAGGGACAGGGGGACAGGGGGACGTGGGGACATGGGGTCGTAGGGACATGGGGACACAGGGACGTGAGGACGTGGGGACATGGCAATGTGGGGACATGAGGTTGTGGGGACATGGGGACACAGAGACATGAAGGCATGGGGACATGGCGATGTGGGGACACAGGGACATGAGGACATGGGGATGTAGGGTCATGGGGACGTGGGGACATGGGGACACAGGGAGGGCGTTGCCCAGGGGGACATGGGCATGGACTCAAATGGGGACATGGGGACACGGAGGGACAGTAACACAGAGACACACAGAGGGAAACAGAGCATGGGGACACACGTGGGACACGGAGGGCTCCTGGTCAAACCGAGGCCATCCTGTCCCCTCTGCTGCCACCGCAGCATCCCCGGCTCGGCCGTGTGCGCCTTCTACCTGGCGGACGTGGAGCGCTCCTTCGAGGGCCCCTTCGCCGAGCCCCGTGGGACCACCTGGACCCCCGTGCCAGAGGAGAGGGTCCCTCAGCCCAGGTACCAGCCCAGGCACCCCCACCCCACACCGGGACACGCCCGGGTGCCACAGGCACCGCGTCCCCACGCCCGCTGTGCCGCAGGCCGGGCTGTTGTGCCGGGATGGGCCCTGCTGCCGGCGTTGTCACCTCCGGGGACTTCCCTGACGAGACGCTGGTGTTCGCCAAGGAGCACCCGCTGCTGCACGGCGCCGTGGGCCCCGCGGGCGGGCGGCCCCTCTTCACCCACACCGGCACCAGGTGCAGGGACAGGGTGGTCTCAGGGACAGGGTGGTCTCAGAGAGAGGGTGGCCTTGAGGACAGGGTGGTCTTGGGGAGAGGGTGGCCTCAGGGACAGAGTGGTCTCAGGGAGAGGGTGGCTTTGAGGACAGGGTGGTCTTGGGGACAGGGTGGTCTCGGGGACAGGGTAGTCTCAGAGAGAGGGTGGCTTTGAGGACAGGGTGGTCTTGGGGACAGGGTGGTCTCAGGGAGAGGGTGGCCTTGAGGACAGGGTGGCCTCAGGGAGAGGGTGGGCTTGGGAAGAGGGTGGCCTTGAGGACAGGGTGGTCTTGGGGACAGGGTGGTCTCAGGGAGAGGGTGGCCTTGAGGACAGGGTGACCTCAGGGAGAGGGTGGGCTCGGGAAGAGGGTGATCTTGGGGACAGGGTGGGCTCGGGAAGAGGGTGGCCTCGGGGACAGGGTGGTCTCAGGGACACTGTGGCCTCGGGGACGGGATGGACTCGTGGATGGAGTGGCCGTGGGGACAGGGAACAGCCGACGTGAGGAGGTCCAGGGTGCTGCAGGGTGACAGGGAACAGTCCTGGCCCAAGGCTCCTGTCAAGGGTGTGGGGGGCCAGGGAGGGTGCAGGAAGCCCCCAGGCCCGGCTTTGCGAGGCCGTGTCCTGCCGCAGGCTGACCCAGCTGGCCGTGGACACGGGCGCGGGGCCCCGCGGGAACCACACCGTGCTGTTCCTGGGCGCCGAGGACGGGCGGCTGCTGAAGGTCCTGGCAGCTGCACAGAGCCCCGAGGCCACGCAGCCCCCCGGGGGCACCCCGGCACCGGGGGACACCCAAGAGCCGGGGGACAGCAGGGACAGCAGTGGCAAGACGCTGCTGCTGGAGGAGATCAGCCTCTACGACCCCGGGCGGTGAGGGGCAGGCGTGGGGTGCCCAGGGCTGGGGTCTGGGGGTCTCAGGGGATGCTGGAGGGGGCTTATGGGGGCCATGGGTACTGGGAGTGCTGGGGGCTGGCGGGCACTGAGGGGTTGGGGCTGCTTG